TCTGTATCATCTGGTAACCATTTAATCTACACTAGGGAGGAGTATGAATCTTTTTCTTACAATGATATGATGCGGTAGACCTTGTTCTTGAAGTTGAAGCCTTACTAATAGAAAGAACAGCCCCTGTATTCCTCCATGTACTTTCAGTGACTAAAAATTCTGCTAATCAGTTTGGAATAAATAGTATCATTCCTTCATCTGCTGAGTAACTCTTTCACCTCTCCTACCATGATTCTATTAAAAGCAGTATAGACTTCCATGTACAATATATTATACCGGATACATACAGAGCCAATGATAAATACCACCAATACCATATCTTCCGCTTACTATCTGTATAATACCTTAAGAGTGCATGACATTTTACAGAGGAAACTCTTTTATTCTTTACTCCATAGAGCTTACCATCCTTATTAGACTTAATACAACAAGTACAACACACAGAAGGCTGTAATAGCGATAAACAATGTTGAAACTCATACTGCATTTGCTGTTTGTCACTTTCTTCTTGGAACTGTAGAGTAAGTCTGGAAATTTGGGTACTTTGAAATGTTCAAAAGAAGTTTGAAGATAATGGGCAGGGACGAATTCTATTTGATTCTTTACAAAAACCCATCAAAAATCAGTTGGTTAACTATCTGTATTTTGTATTAACCAATCTGTACAGAGAAACTCAGATCAGGAATTTAAAGCTGAGCAAAAGTATTATTCTTGCACAATGCTCCCTTCAGTGTTCCGTAGTCATTGAGAAGGCTAGGAGGAGATAAGAGGGAAGGCTATTTGTAACGTGCTTCCCTCCCCCTTTTTTTTCTTGTACTCGATTGAAAAGACCTGCCAGTTTGACAAATACCTTCAGCAAGAAAGGAATTATTATATATCCAGCCCTCAAGGGTTTCTTATCTCAAACCCGACCTTTATTATGGTTTTATGGTTTTCCTTCGGCATTAAATCCCACTTTTTCTTAAATAAATTTCTAAGTACAGGAAACACTGTATATTTGTATATATGTTTGTAAAAATACAAAAAATAATGTGCAACATTTTCCAAGATCAGATGTAAATTTAGTGTGGTTTTTTTAAATAGTTTCTTTTACCGTCAAAGGCATATGAGCTCAAACATGCTGTTTCTGTTTATGTGCAATGACTTACAGCAGCAAGAACTTGATTTTAAAGTATAACAGCAAAATCTTGCTGTTAGTTTGTAGTAAAATCTTGCTGTTAGGTTGTAGTGTTAAAATGTTTGCTTTTTATAGCTTTTAAAACGGAAATATTTTCTTGAAATAGAAATTGAATTCATGATTGTTGATCACTCATTTCCAATAAATAATATTGCTCTTAGTCTGAATTTCTTACATAATTCAAACACCATGGAGGCATCAAATGCCAGTGTTATGCTGGGATATGGGCAATACACAACTTTTATATTTAATACTACTCCTACCTTCATCTGAAACTTGTGATCACAAGTAATTAATTGGTGCCCTAGCACTGTGATCTCTTCTGTTGAAACTGTTTCAGGAACAATATCTCTCTGGCATGTATGTACTTTCACCATTCTATTTAAGTAGAGAAAATAAAAAAAGACCAATTGTGAAAGAGGAAGTGTATTAATACCATAATTTTGTGATAATATAATGTTAGCAATGATAGTGACAGAAGGTAGAAGTTGAGAAAGAGGCAAGATTTTGGGGATGCATTGGTCCTGTAAGACAGTGAATTATACTTACTATACTTTCTTCAAACTACTAAATTAATTCAAAGTCTACCATCTGATGTTGAAATTATTGCTGTTTGGACCATCTGTGTTATTCTGGTAATAAAGTTTCCGTTTCCAATTTATAAAAAGATGCAATTGATTTATCTATCACAGCCACAGTCTCGCTCTGACTCTATGGGCTCAGGCTGTGATTCTGTGGAAGCCTCAGTCAATCTAGTGGCATATTACTGTGGTTTTGCCTGTAGCCATGCTGTCCTGCCCCCTCTCATGTGCCAAGTCCACCCTTGTGTGACCTTGCACTGAGCTGTTTCAGCATGGTATGCTAATAGGAAGCTAACTGGACAAAGTGCTGCTGTGAATAATTTTCTGCATTAGAAGTGCCCAAACAGCAGCACTAGCAGAGATGAACTGTTCTAACAGGGGGAATGAGAACAGCACTAGCATAGCCAGTAGTTAGAGTGACTTAGGCTCTGTGTGATACCAGCCTGGAGGACAATTTGTCCCTCCATTTTTGTTGTTTTCAGCTGGGGAGGGAGGGAGGAGGGGTGTTTGGGTTTCATTTTGGTTTTTATTTTTTAACCTTAGTCAGACTTCCTTGAAATATGTGGTCTGATGGTGATATTCTTTTTTTTTTTTTATCATATCTATAACTTGCATAAATTATTCCAAATTTTAAAATTAAGTGAGTATACCTTATTTAGATGTGGCTGTCATTGGAATCTTACAGGTAAATAATTCAGCAATATTAGGTAAAAATCAACCTACTGAGCTGTTTCAGCATGGTATGCTAATAGGAAGCTAACTGGACAAAGTGCTGCTGTGAATAATTTTCTGCATTAGAAGTGCCCAAACAGCAGCACTAGCAGAGATGAACTGTTCTAACAGGGGGAATGAGAACAGCACTAGCATAGCCAGTAGTTAGAGTGACTTAGGCTCTGTGTGATACCAGCCTGGAGGACAATTTGTCCCTCCATTTTTGTTGTTTTCAGCTGGGGAGGGAGGGAGGAGGGGTGTTTGGGTTTCATTTTGGTTTTTATTTTTTAACCTTAGTCAGACTTCCTTGAAATATGTGGTCTGATGGTGATATTCTTTTTTTTTTTTTATCATATCTATAACTTGCATAAATTATTCCAAATTTTAAAATTAAGTGAGTATACCTTATTTAGATGTGGGCTGTCATTGAATCTTACAGGTAAATAATTCAGCAATATTAGGTAAAAATCAACCTCTGTAATAATTGCAGTAAGACCCTGGAAACAGCTAGGTTTCAGATGTGCTCCCCACAGTCTTGCTGTATGCCAGCGACCTTTTCTGACTGTTGGTCCCTATAGGACACTTCTGCTTCTTTGTGGTACTAACTCTGACTGTGCAGCTTCTACAGGCATGTACTCTGTTTACTTCTGTATGTTATGGAGAGTATGCTGAGCAAATAGCTCATTTTTATTGTGTCTTAGTGTCCAAATTGATAGCTTTGTGACTGGTTTAAAAGAAAAAGTGTCATGTTATTCTGGCTTCAAATCACGTTAAGGCAAAATGCAAGTGAGTTTTCACTGAGAATACCTGAAAGGATAATAAAATTATCAAAGACCTAAATATATATATGTGTGTGTATACATACACATATATACACACACATATATAAATAAAGCCACACTTTTATTTGGATTAAATTGGAGAGGTCTCTCTCCCTTTAACTCCTTTTCGACTTTGGATTTAATCCTTATCTTTGTGTGTATAGCAGAATTTTTTTTAAATGAGAGAACTGTAACCCTCTGTCTGATGTGAAAGTTTTCCTGAAAGTTTACCCTACCTGTCTCCCAAAACCTGTTATGATGACAAATTCCAGAAATGCTTTGCCTGCTCTGTAGAGAAGTACTTTCTTTGCTCCGTTTTAAAGGGATTTTCTTGAAGTTTCAATCTCTAGGTGCTCCCTATTTCTATTACTGTGGGGTTTGAATATTTGAAGTCAGTAAAGTTCAAGTAGGAGATAATGAAGAAAGACTAATTGTTCTAAAGAACTAAAATCCCAGTCAGGACAGAAAAATGAAACCACACCAAAACCACATTTGTAAATGCTCCTACAGCAGTACTAAAAGAAATATGCTTGAATAGTTAATTTGAAGTGAAGATACTGATACAACATTCATCTCAACTACTTGGTGAAAGGACAGTAATTAGTAGCATACTTAAATCAAGATACCAACAGTAAGACGATAATGAGATGGGCTGCACAGCTGGAGGAGTGGTAGTTTATCTTAAAGCACTTATGAAAAGAAATGTTTACTGTCACAGATGTTCAATGAAATACATATGAATTTAAATCCTTTGGCTAATATGAGGGTGTGTAATGTTAGGGCAATACACTTGATGACAATGATGGCAATGGTTGTCATTGTGGGTGTTGAAATGGGCTGTGAAGGCTGAGAACTGTATGATAATGGACTCTTCTGTGAGTGTCCTCTGGCCTTGATAAATGCCATGATAGATAATTGTTGCTGACAGGTTCTTGGAACACCTACTCAACAAATGCATCTAAAAGGAGTACCTGTTGACTTATTTTCGAGCAATGCAAATATAGCTTCTCAGAACTAGTGACTGCAGTGTGCTCAAATCCTGCAATTTCTACAAGTGTAGAAGAATCTTTACGCATATGAATCCTTTCTCCAGAAAATCCATCAGTGATGTATTTAAGAGGGGGATCTACCTAAAAATCCAAAGCCTGCTTAAAAAGAAATGAAGAGAAGGACCAAAAATTCAAAAATGGCATTAATGGAGTGTGTTTAAAGACTGATAGTGTGTATATCACTGATCTGTGATATATGTTGATAAATGCTATCAGTGCAAATAAAGACGCTAAAAGGACCCTATGAAGTCCAAATAACTAACATGTTTAAACGGTAGAATAAAGCAGGTTATTAGGAGTAGAAAAAAGCAGCTCAGCTTTCACCTAGTGACAACAGAAAGAAAAAGTCTAGAAACTAATATTAAGAATGGTTTTAAATACGTCAGTCAAATTTTGTTTCAGAGTTTGTGAGACCAGTAGGTGATGAAAGCATGTTAAGAACATTTGAAGGTCATGAAGTATAGATGGTCTGTTTTTACTATGGAGACAGCAGGGGTTACCAGTACTGATCCCTCTGGGAAAGGAAGGTGAATAGGCCATAAAGTTAACTGATACTTAAAATACAGAGGAGTGTCTGATAAAATCCATTTTGCATATATTTTGCTGAAAACTTTTGGAATTATTTATATATGTTTTCATATGCTTTTGTTTTGTCTTTCAGCTTGTGATGAATGGAAGATCTTACCAAAACCTAATCTGCATCGAGATGTCAACAGATTTGGTCACACTGCTGTTGTCAGTAATGGGTAAATGAAACGTATTTTAAGTTTTCCTGACTCTTTTTCTGAATGATAAAAACTGTGGCAGAAATTATGCTTATGTGAAGTATGGTTCAATGATATACAGCTGATGTAATTTATTGACATGAAAAGTAGTGCTCATCAGGGACTTGTCTTAGGTAATGAGTACAGCTAATTATCAATTTGACATGCTGTGGAATCTATGCAATGACATTTTATATGAACCTTCTAGCGTACTCCGGTGTTTCCTCAGTATTGTGGACTACACTGAATTTGAAATTCAGTACCAACTATAATCTTCACTTAGATGTAACAGGAGAAATCTTTTTCTCTTTGCAGCATGCTATAATTCCTTGTTCTTCTACAGTCATAAAATCAAAAACATGTAATTAAAATTTGCTCGGAAAAAGCAAGATTTTGAAGATACTGATACAGTGATCATCATTAACCACTTGCAGGAAGAAAAGCCTGCCAGCATCTAGACTATATTAAGTATATTGCTTATCCTCTATAAAATGTAGCATACTTTCATGTCACTTGTTGAGCTCAGTAAAACTTCATCATCTAGAAACAAGAGATGGAGCGGATCTGGAGTTTGCTGGATTTGATGGCTGAACTCTGCTTCCTCCCGCCCCAACCCCCAAAGATAAAATTGTAGGACAAACGTCTCCTTTTTAGTGGAAAAGTTGTAGAAAACTGTAGTGGGGTTAAAGAAATTTCTACTGTTTGCTTGTGTCAGTTTTACTATTGCTGGTTGCCAAATAGCCTAACGTCTGACAGTTGCAGTACTACAGATTATTGTACTACTGATCATTCCTCCTCTACGTTATTCATCGTGCTAATAAACTCAGTATTTAAGTAGATGTGGGCAACTTGCAGATCCTCTACATATGGATATTGTATAGGTCAGAAATAATGGTGGTGATAAGTAATACTGAAAATAAGAGTTTGACTGATTTTAACAAAAATAGCAGTAAGTTGTAACTGTACACACAGTGCTTGAAATTAATCAATGAACAGATTACTTCATTAAGAGAAAATTGTTTGGAATTAATGAATTCAGCAACTGGTGATTTGTGTTGTTTTAAGCATCTAAGCTATGTCTGATACTTCGAGAATTGTCACTTTCAGTGGATTAGATTCAAGGTGAAAATGCCCATGTTTTTTTTTCCTGAACTTAATGGTATTTTTAGTAGGGTTTTATGTACAAAAAAGTGTAATACGAGATACTCTCCAAAGGTTTCTGCTATTGGTAACTGTATGATTAATTCTGTTTTAAGAGTATATGATACAAGAGATATACAGGTTCTTTATTATTATCTTTTGCCAGAGGCTGTTCTTAATTTTAAATGAGAAAGGTAAGGTCTCAAGTCTAGTCTTCTGGTTCTGATGTCAGCAGCTACTGCACCGGAAATGTTACCAAAAAGAAATATCCATCTGCCAATTATTACTGGCTGCCTTTGAAAACTTCTTGAAGAAAAATGTTCTTATTTCCTGCAGCCCATTATTTCACACTCTGTTCTCATTATCTAACTCCAGAAATGAGTAGTTTCCTCCATAGTTCTCTCTTCTTTCCAGACATTTGGTATATGTCACTCACTAATCCATATAGCACAGTGCACTTTGAACAATTGTTTTATTAGTCTAAACTTCCATGGAGAAATACATTGAAAAACTTACCAATCTTTGTAATGGAACCACTGACAGAGTCTTTATTAGAGAGAGGTGAAGAATGTTTTTTATAATATTATCTGTTATTTTTTTATTGTGTATCAAGATAGCTAAAGAAATCAAGAAAATGTATCTATAGCTACAATAACAGTTATATTTGCTTGCTTTTTCCTAATAGGTCCATGTATATATTTGGGGGTTTTTCAAGTGTTCTTTTGAATGACATCCTTGTGTACAAGCCTCCAAACTGTGAAGCATTCAGAGATGAAGAGCTGTGTAAAAACGCTCGTCCAGGGATAAGGTGTCTGTGGAACAAGAAACACTGTGAATCCTGGGAATCTGGACATGCTAATAACATCCTTAGAGCAAAGTGTCCTAAGAAAACAGGTAAGTGAATTATAGTCTTACAGTGTCAAATTTGCCATGCGATGTAGGAGATGGGGGGGAGGGGGGAACGTAAAATGCCCCTCAAAAGACCAACCAGGTGGAACTAGTGATTGGACTGTTAAGACTGTTCCTCGCTGAGAATATCCAATGCAAGAGATTTATGGATTAATTTTTAAAATCATTCAATTCTGGATTTTTTTTTTTTTATTTCAAATACAGGGAAGTAGGTGCAAAAAAGCACAAGTTTAAGATGTTAAGGGATACAAAACATAAGAGGGTTCAAAGAGAAGAATTTACTTCATTGGGGACCTAAAGCATAAAATGACTTTAGATTGGAGTTTGAGGCATTTATAAAAGGGTGAGCTTTGAATTATTGTAACTGAATTAATTTTCCTCTTTCTCCACCTTCTCCTATTTCAGGATATATACACACATACATCTCTCTCTCTCTACATATAAAAAAGCCTTAATATTTTTCTGATTTCAAGAAAGCATAACAGCAATCAGAGCACAGATGGGCACTGCGAGTGATATCTGGCATGACAGGCATATGGCACTCTCATGTCTCTCTGTACCAGTAAGAGAGAGGGGAAGCATTGCTGCTTCAAGTAGATTACTTATCAAACAGGGGTATTTGTGTAGAAGGATATAGTTCAGTCACAGCTGGAAACAAACTTGAGGCAAACAAGCCTTTGCTGCAGTATGTCAAAATGGATTCAAGTTTGTCATGTGAATTTCTATGCGGCATTGTGATAGCTGTTTGAAACAGCAATTTAGCATTATGAATAACCGTTGCACCCTATTCCTAAGTATTTTGGCTTGTCACAAATAAAGTGCTTATGAAAGTGTTGTTCTTATACTTCACATGAATAGAATATGCATCCGTGCTACGTATACCTGCTATTTTTTCTGTGCATCTTTCCTTTCAGCACAGTATAAAATTGCTAACCAGACTTTGGCTGTGTGCTACATGTACAAGCTACCATACAATTAAACTGCCAGTCTACTTTTAATGTTTGTTAAAAAAATATTAGCTCTGCTATTAATCAATGCTTCAAGACAGTTTATTTTTCTGTTAGCTTTTACTTGTTTCTGAACTGGATATAAAGTTGCAAACTTGGAAAAAAGGTGCATTATATAACAAAAAGTTTATCCAGGTAAAGCTTTCTGAAGAACTGCTTTTGTACAGTTTCATAACATTTAGAGATCTAGAGTCTAGAAAGTTTCAGCTCTTTATAAAAAGAAACATTTTGAAGTACTAAATTAAAAAGTAATACAGATGAAAGTGGATCTTACAAAAAGCTGATCATATCAACAGGTGTTTAAAAAAACAAAGCACAGAGAGGCTGAAGGAAAATAAAAAAGTTAGAGCAGTTTCTAAAGTACAGCTGCTGCAGTGGGAATAAACTACAACTAAACTTGCAAGAGGTGAGGTGTGTAGAATTCCAGTTCCGAAGAAGTTGTGTGGACAGCACTGCTTCATTGCTGCCAAATCCTTCCAGCTTCAGGTGCTAATATTCTGCCAAAAGCCAATTTTTCATATATTCTTTTATACCACTTGGCTCAATTGTTATCTGGTTGAGAGTGTCATCTGAGAAACTGCTGATAGTCAATATTAAAGGATAAGCAGAAATTTTAGTGGGTTTTCAAAAGATCAATTCTTGCATAGCAAGGCTTCCCTGGCAAGAGAATCTTAAACTTGCATGATCCTGGGACTAAAGAAGCCAAACCGCACAGGAGTTAAACACAGTAATCGGTGTAGGAGATGGTAGGAATTCTATTTTGGGTCATGGTGATTTTTCAAATTTTTGCCGCCTTTAAGCAGAAAAAATCATTTGTGTCCCAATACGTTTTAAATAACATAAATTTTAGTCCGAGTCCTGAAGGCTTGTATTAAGGATTTAACATGTACTCTTCCTCAAATATGTTTTGTAGAGAAAGGGCAGAACTATGACTTACCAATCATTATTAGGTTTATAAATTAATTTATAAAGACTTCAAATGTCCGTGTGTTGCTAATATCTGTCTCAGATTTTTTTCATTTACTACTTTTACCATTGTCTTCTTGCATAGCAATCTAATATTTTTATCAGAAACCTGCATCTGAAGAAAATCTTTCTTCTGTGTTAAAGGAGTGAAGAATGAGTAGTTTAAGAAACTTTCTGATACTCTTAATTTATGCACTGTGCTAAGAGAGTTTATATGCTGCAAATCAGTGAATGTTCCTTTAGTTGATATGAGACTTATGAACCTTCAACTACAGTTGTTACTAAAAGAATTTTTAAAGGAGTAAATCTTATTAACTGAATAGAATTAATTTCCTACAGTAACTTAAACCTTTATGAATGGCTAGAGTTCAAATGAAAGATGTAACAGAAAATACTCACAGCAAGTGTTGAAAATGTGGTATTATTCTCCTTCTGTGTGATGCTTCTTTTTGACTTTCATGTGTATTACAGCTGCTGCAGATGACAGATGTTACCGATACGCGGACTGTGCGAGCTGTACTGCCAATACAAACGGGTGCCAGTGGTGTGATGACAAGAAGTGCATTTCAGCAAATAGTAACTGTAGCATGGTGAGTCTTTGCAAATCTATGATCATGTTATTAATACTTTTCTAGCTAAACCAGAGGCCTGTTGCAGCAAATGAAAGGGGTATAGTAGACTAATAGTGGCTTGTTTTGAACACAAACATAAACATGTTTGCCTGGCTTTTGCAGTAAAAATGTTGCAGAGAGCAGAGTTGGACTGCAGCAAAGATACCTATTCCAGGGAAAAAAAATAATGTATTCTTTAGGATTCTGTTAGTCCACTGTATATCTCTCAGGACAAATACTATTATCTCTTAATTAATGAAATTTGGAATGTCCCAGAGTCATTATCAACTTGGGTTTTGTGCATATGCAGTGTATAGTACACAGGCAGAAACCGTGGAATCCCATGAAGGGTGGCTGTTTGGTTTTTTTCACTTTCAGACAGGACCAGGTCGGTCTCATTAGTCTTGGTATTCTGTTCATTGATCATCATAGAAAAGTTTTTCTTTAAGTCATGGAGTTACTTGTCATCTCATTAAAGGAATATGAGTTTCTGTCACCGTGAGATTAACTAGTTTGTGATTATTTGGTAAGATTGTTCTGATCTTTGTATAGACAAGCAATAAAAACATACAAGTTTATATTTTTCTATTTTTAATATCGCTTAGTGCCATGTTTTATACTTTACGTTGTTGTCCACCAGCTGCTGCATCTCTTGCTTGTGCATTTGATTTTTGACAAGCTTATAATAGTATTTTAGCTTTATAAATTTTGCTTCCTTATATTTTTCAGCTAGCTCCAGACACCTGGCTGTACTTGAGTTCAAAATCCTTTCTTTACACACTCCATTAGTAAAAGTAGCTTGCTTTCTGGTCTGAACCTGGTGCAAATCAATCTTGTTCTCCAGACAGACAAATTAAGGTGTGAGTTGGATTGACTCTGACTCAAATCTTGTCCATTCAAAGTGAGCAGAGCCGGCTCTAATCACTGGCATTCGTAGCTAGTCACTACTAATAAAAGCAATGCAGACACAAATTCATCAGCAGCCATGTTATAAGTCTGTCAGGAGTGATTTCACATTCCAGGCACTAATGGTTAGTTTCCTTTGTGATCTTCAAGGACTCTTCTTTTCCTAACACATTGTACTATATTAGGTGCCAATTTTCTAACTGTGGTTTTCAACTCTTAAGCAAGGAACGGTTGCTAAGGACAGCAGACCATCTTCATCCCTAATAAATGTGGAGCACCGGGTATTTTAGTACAAGCTTCTCAGTTCGGTATCTTTCTTTGTTAACCTTTCCACAACCAAGATTGTCAGCATAATTAGCAACTGATGCATCAGTCTTCTCTATATCATTTCCTGTCTTTCATTCAGGATTTCAAGTGGATAGCAAAGGCTGTTAGTGGAGTTACTAAAGAATGGGATAGTGAAAATTTATGAAAAGAGTTACTATCATAAGTTGAAGATGGCTATTGCAAAATGAGTGTATTGGCTGGGAAACGATGGAGACAGAATTTTGCAGCTTTCAACATAAAGCCACCAAAACAGCATCAACAGAATGGTACCGTGTGGAGAAATGGAATGGATCAGGCTGATTATCCATTTTTATAGACTGCTACTTCTGGACTAGGCCCACAAAATGAAAATGTAGTGACGGTACTGTGATGGTAATATGGGATAACAAGCTGTAGACTCAGATCATAAGGAGAAGGCCCCATTTTTGCAGCTGTACAAAGACCTTGATTTATTACTTTGTCTCGTCTGGATGTTCTATGATCTGACGATAATGTTTTAGAATCTGTTGCTTTTGCTTCATGGAAAACTGGCCAGCATACTAAAGATATGTTGGCAATCGGTTCGGCATTGGCCTTGTGGTCATGGATATTTGCAAAGCAGTGACTGTTCTGCTGATTGGAAGGGCTCTAAAAAAGGGAAAATTCCCTGAAATAACTCTGGACAGGTGGACAGTGGAGTTCAAGATCCTTAGGGCACCGACAAAAAGGACTACAGAGGGTGGAAGCAAGGACAGGTAGCCTGGGAGGAGTACAGAGAAATTGTCCGAGCAGCCAGATCAGGTTAGGAAAGCTAAAGCCCTGACAGAATTAAATCTGGCCAGGGACGTCAAGGGCGC